TCGATCTACAATCAGAGATGGAACGCGAGTACAGATCAAAATGCGAATCTAGGTGGAATCAACGGCAAGTCGGACTATGAACGTGAACCGTTTGATTTGTGTCAATTAATATTAAATAGCATCTCCAATTTGGTTGTTAGTGGTTTCGTACAACCTATTTATTGCGCCATGCCCTCAAACAATAGAATCAGAATCGGAATCCCTCGGTCCAGCTGGTCTTGGTGTTCTCATTTCGTGGCGGGTTGAACTGACTGGGAGCAGCACAGCAGATTCAGCCAGGTTATCCGTACAGTCAGCGGAAACCACAACACAGTTCTGGCGACGGTCAGCTGCATGGTAGCAGCAGGTCAGCCGTACATTCAGCCGCAACACAGTATCCCTCTGTGTTCCTTGCTTCCTTGACGATCTGCATGTAAAGTTTTCTTACATTCCCTTGGTGTCATTAATCGAGCCTATGAGCTAGAATGTCTGCTTTGCCGTTGCCGCCTTTCGTATGGTTGGAATTTGAAGACGCGCTTGTCGGGTTTTATCATCAAAGCTTTTGTTGAAAGCTTTGTGTGGAAGCAGTTTGAATGACATAGAGTAAGCTTGAAAGTGTTACTGAAGTACTCGATTGATCGCGGGCTGTAACGGAATCATGTCCGAGTGAAAGTTACGAAATCGTGAATACAGGGGGCATTACGCTTTCAACAAATTCATATAATGCCAAAGCAAACCTTGTACAATCTGGTGAGTCCATGTTAATACAAACGTGTCACTTGGTCGATCCCAATAACGCTCTAGTCGATTGCGTAGTTGGTTACCGTAAACAGGTTCACGATCCTGTTTCTTCTCTCATATTAGCTTGATTCTGTCCTCTGTTAAGATGTTCGAGAAGAGCTGTCTTGGATCCCCAGGTCTTCTTCCGGTTGACTCGGTGGTTATAGGTGGCGGAGAGCTTTATCAAAATAATTACTGACTAGTTGGGAGGCATGCAGTGTGATATTTACAACCAGTAATTCTATGAGTGGCACTGGCTTGGGCCTGAAGCATTATGCTCCCCTGGATAGCAGAGAGGGTTGTAGGACTAGTCGATACTAGTCAGGTGCGATTCCTGTGATTGAGCGTAGATACCAGAGGGCAGAGAGGTTAGACATAGCGCACTGCATTCGTAATGCTATAAACAATTGAAACCGGATGAAGCGAGCAAAAGCGAACGTCATTCTCATGACTCATCAAACGAAACTGTGTCCAGCCAGATGTACGCCAAGATGGCTGTAACGTAAAAGAGACTGAAACAAGAATGAAAAATGCAATGAAATTGTACATAAAATATAGTACTTACCTTTTGGGGCGCTACACAGTTTCCCCCTAGAAGGCTGAACAAAAAGAGCCGTCGATGTCGAAAACGATGGGTGGATTGAGGTTTGCTGGGCAAAATCGTGCCGAAGTGAGCGTTTGTGTCAAATAGGGTTCGTCGGGAATGGAAGCCCAATGTGCTGTATGTTAGCTACTATATATTGATTGCAGGGCAGAGTGTAATTCGGCAAGTCGTTCGAACGGGCTTGTCGGAATTCAAAAAACCGGCTATCCCAGAAAAGTGGCCAACGGCAAGTCAACCTCCGATGCTGCTAAACGGTGCAATTGGGAGCGGTCACTCACCTGCGCAGCAACGCACCCCGAGCCGTAACGACTCTCGTCCCATGAAGAAACGTCCAGTGTTCGCGTCCGAATCCTCGAAAACGTTGTTCGTGGGGGCCAGTCGATCGAAAGGAAGGGTTGGGGCATGTGGGGACAGAAGAAAGACACACAGAGAACACAGGGCTGTATATCACCTTACAGCCGAGACTGCAACAAGAGACCCGCAGATAACACAGTATCAACTTACGCCCTCGAGTACACACTGCATGAGGCACAACTATTCTGGTCCCCCTTTCGACCATTCATAACAGCGCACTGATCTCCAGAAGATCATCTTCCATCCCTACCATGTGTTTACTAATCAGCATGAGTTTCAAATTGTTTCCTGCTCAGCGCATTATGCGCAGCCTCACCCCCCAAAGAGATCGAGGATGCAGCAATGGACAGTTAACTTGGCACCCTACTGTATATATCCGATACACCGTTAGCTACAACCTGTGGACGTGTCCCTGTCTGAACTCTGTGACGATTCCACTGCGCTGCGTGGCGACGCCATCCCAATTTCGCAGCTCGTTTATGCAATAAATCTAACGATGGGCCACCCTCGTGCACATTAACTAGTTCACCAAATTCAAATCAAAAGCTCTATACGAGAATGATTATGCTCATCTTCCCCTAATCTTGACCACAGAGGGTGAAACATACCACCGGGGATTAAGTCCCCTGCCCCTACGCTCATGTTCCTGCTGACGATACAGGTGACACGACATAACTGTTGTGGATTCGCATTCAGCCGGCTACCTCAGTTAGGAGATATAGTCAAGACTTGAGCGCCACAACCTTACGCTTTGGTATAGTAACCTTGAGTGTACTGCTGAGTATACCACACCGAACGTTTCCTTTCTGTTGGAAGTTCCCGTAGCCTCTCACTCATTATCCTTGGTTGGGTCCTGTTCCACTGATACCAAGTTTAAACTTGCAGTAAGGGTACACATGTGAAGTGATCCCGATCGTTTCATGTGAGCTATTTCCTTTGGAACTCAATGCAAAGTTCGTTATAGTTTCCGACTATTAAAATGATTTTCCATGCACTGCCTACGTAAAGGTTTTGCAAAGTCCATGGATTTGTTGCTAGGTGTTTTGCAAGACTTAATAGATGAATGACCTGCGGAATGCAAGAGAAGCTTTAAA